ATTTTGTGGGGGCGGGAGTGGGGACATTGGATAGAAGAAATAAGTAAAATGATGAAACCCAATATCATTACAATTTAATTTAATTCCAGCAAAACTACATTAACTTCAAAGAAAGCAATACAAATCTCCAAAATAACATTACATCAACTCAAAAAAGATCAATTTTGCGGTCCTTCACGAATCTACATTGATCTCGTACATCTAGTAGCCCTAACTGTAAACATGAATTGTTCGAAGCAATGGAAAAACTTTCTACTTACGGGCTCTAAAGATCTTAGATCAAGCATTAAAAACACCACATTGTTTCAATTGTTTAAAGAAGACATGGAATCATACAGAAAAGTTGGCTCCTTTGATGAAGAAATGAGAAGCTGGGTTACGGATCAGCAGATTTGATTTATTCGAGTCCTCGCCACTAGCCAGTCACCCGCCTCTATAGTTGTGTCGGTGATATGCGTGGGGAAGCCGTTGAGCTGTATTTTATTTAGGGGTCACAAATGACAGATGTGTTCGGACTGTTCGCTAAAATTCCACTAAAATGACGAGTATGCCACCTTTTTTTTAAAAAAAAAAATTAGATTTTGTACCAGCACGACTAATTATTTATCTAATACTCCCTCCGTCCCAAATTATTTGTCACATTTCTATTACCGAGACAAAATATCAAGTTTTTTCAGTTCATTTTATTTACATATTGGTAAAGAAATAAAAAATAAAAATTACATATCAAAAAACTACATGAAAAGTTCTTCGAAATAAGAGGTGTCAAGAATATTTTATTTTATCAAATAACTAATGAAAACGTAGAAATAAACAAAAGTTCCCGCGACTGTTAAAAAAACAAATGTGGCAAATAATTTGGGACGGAGGGAGTATATAAAGAATACAAATTTAATGGAATTAGAGTCTGTTTGGTATACGGAATTGGTTGAATTGGAATTGATGAAATTGGAATTAAAATTACATGGGATTCAATTCCATGAATTGAACTCACCCATTTCAATTCATTTATTGCACTATCAATTTCAAATCCACATAATTTTTGAGCTAACAAACAGCAGAATTGGAATTGAAGTCCTCAATTCCAATTCCATAGTTTGAAACTTTGAATTCCATGTACCAAACGAGGCCTTAATGTATAATTTAGATTCAAATAGAACTAAATATAATTAAAATAATTCAAAAAAAAACATAACATCTAATTATTTGAATTTGTATAAAATATAATTAAAATAATACAAATTTTAAGAAAATCATTCTATTATGTCAAAGGTTATCTTGAAAAATAATTAAAAATTTAAAAACTTAAAAATTAAAAAAAGTTATAGAAATAAATTTTTAACAACAAACACCCAAGAAAAAAAGAACAAAAAAAGAACAAAAAAAGAAAAAGAAGCTGCTTTACCAAAATGTGTTGCTAGAACATTTCTATTTATAGTGCACCAGAGTTGATAAACGAAAAAATAAAATAAAAATTGAAATAGTATAGATCTGATAATGTAATTTTTATGGGAACATGTATTTATAGTGTGCAAAATAGTTTTTTTTTTCGATTTGTTTTTTTTTCAAATATGCATTTTATTAAGTAAATAAAGAAAGAATACAAAATGTTTGGAGTGAGTAGGAACAGACTCCATACTCACACAAATAAATAAAGGAAGATGAGATATGAAATAAATAACATTTGATAACTAAACTAAAAGAATAAAAATGTAGGCCAAGCAGAAGCCCAATCCAACTGTGCAGAAATTACCAAGTCCAAAGTCCAATAAGCCAAGCCATTCAAGAAAATCAAGGCCCAACCACGGTTCAAAATAGTTTGGATGTGCAATCTAAAATATTTGCACAGGAATCAGAAGATTTAAAAATCTTGTGTAATTATGCCCATGCCTCAAAATATATGTATATCTAGCTCTCGAAGTCATTATTATACTACCCCGCATGCAAGCCACCAATACTCCCTCCAATTCAAAAGTTATAATGGCATCATAACTTTCAATAAAGTGGGCCGCATGGCCTTTTACAATACACATGATAAGTTATCTTCACACATTTCCTTTACAAAATAATTATGAAATCACATTTTTCTATAAAATGGCCTTTTCCATAAAGTAGCCCGTTTCAAGATCTATAATTAATATCACATTGCTCCATAAAGTTTTTTTTTCATTTTCCGGTCGGCATCATCCCTTTCTCTTTCCCATTAATAAACACTCACCGAAGCCAAGCAGTCATCACATCCTCCCATGCAAAGTAATTAATATCACATTTCTCTATAAAGTAACCCTCCCCACTCACCCTTTCTCTTCCTCATTAATAAACACACTCACCAGAGCCAAGTCATCGTCACACACTATCCCTTGCAAAGTAATTAATATCACATTTCTCTATAAAGTGACCTTCCCCCATCAGGTTCGTTCCTCCATTTCTCTAGCCCATTTCCGACCCGAGCCCATAACATTTAGACATGAATTTTCACTGTTCATCTTTTACACATTAGCTATGTATATATAAAGATGATTTTGAATTATTCATTCATTTTTAATTAACTCCATACTTTGCATTAAATGGTTTATAGCTCAAGACTCACGTTTTCTAATGTATCAAATCTATTGCATACATTTAATGTTTATTGCGTTAACAAATGTTTATTTGGTTGTATTGGTTCGTGGCTCCATGTATGACAACTCGTAGTTTATAGTTGTGAGTTTCTTTAATCAATATTTAAAGGCTCTAAGTAACATTGAATTGATAAAAATTAAATTCTTTTATCCTAACCAAAATATTATTTTGTCTTCTTCCAAGAAGTTTTTTTTGTTGGACATGAGTTCAAACCCCTTTTTATATTCTAGAATACTTTTTTTTGTTTTGATAAATGACAAACAGGATGATTAAAATCAACGATGATTAAAAATTTATTTTTTCGTATCGAGAAAAGCAAAGAGCCGTATCAAGAAATTTACGGCGACAAAAAAATCAACGCTCACCCCTACGCAGAAATTTTTGAAGTGAAGTGAAAATTCTAAGACCTTTTAAATTTTATTGAGTCTAGGAATTTTTGTAAGAATGACAAACACTTTTGCATAAACAAATTAATTTTCTAAGTCAGTTGAGAAATCAATTTTTCTCTATTTAAAAATAATTTACCGAGACAGTTTCAAAATAGTGTGTCAAAATTTCTTAAAATATTTTTTTAAAAGATACACAAATTTTTTGTGGTAAGAAAAATATACTTTAAATATTTTTCGTATACATCATTTGACACACAAAATATTTTTTGAACTAAATTTCTACACCAGAAATTCATTTCTTAAATTCAAATTTTTGAATTTGAATTAAATTCAATCAACCCATATGATTTGTTTGATTATAAGAGCCTCTTCATCCCTGAATTCTTGTCCAAAACAAATCACTAAGTCCAATTTGTACATTCTACGCGCACACATGTTTTGGGTCCTCCATGTTTGGAGTTTGTTCTTCCCGTGATCGATCCATTGCTTGGATCGATCTAGGGTGCAGAGCCTTCGATCAGTTGATCGATCCATGGTGTTGGATCGATCCTTTTTAATTCATGATTTTCTTTGATTGATCGATCCTCCTTGTTGTATCGATCCCCCATGAGTTTGACAAAAATCCTTTCCCGAATTTTTAACTCAAGAGGATCGACCATTTTCCCTGGATCGATCCCCCGTGTTGTTGACAAAAATTCATTCTCGACTTCTTACTTCATGTGATCGATCCTCTCCCTTGGATAAATCCACCGCCAGTCAACTCTGTCAAAAACACCTCATCCCTACGTCCAACGGATTTATTCTTTTAACCCTATAAAATCCATCATCCTCCTTCATCAAACATACATCTCTTGCACTCCATTCCTTCATTACTCATTATTCAACTCTTGCTTCAATCTTCCTCATCAAATACATTATTTTGAGAGTTAGAAACATTTTTGTTGAATGCTAAAGATATTGTCATCCATAGAGCTTTCATATTTCAAACACTACTTGCTCAAATTGTGTGAGCTTTCAATCTTGTGTTGTAAAACTAAATCTTGTTTGAGTTGGTGTTAAGACTTGTGTGACTCAAGTCTTGTTGTAAGAAGTTGAGGCTTGTGTGATTCAAGTTCTCGAGTTTTATCGGTTTTTCAAGCACCCGTTGAAGCTTGAAGATTAGTAGGACCTTTGAGAGAGTATATCGGAGGACTTGACTTGCCACGAGGTGGTGAACCAGTATAAATCACGGTGTACTTCTTCCCTTGCTCTTTACGTTATTCCTGCAATTTTTATTCCGTTATCACACACGCAAAAAACGCACATTCTAGTAAACAACTCTATTCACCCCCTCTAGAGTTGCACTTTTGTCTAAAAATTTGTATCGGAGAAGGAAGTTCTTTGAATACTTCTTAATTTTCAGAACTAAAAGATCAATGGCATCTAGAATGTTCAACGCATGAGTTAGCGAGGGACAATCAACCACGAGGCCACCATTGTTCGAATGAACAAATTATTCCTATTCGAAGAAAAGGATGATAATTTTCATCCGATCCAATGACTACAAAATGTGGTTAATTGTCAAGAAGGGGTGTGGAGTCCCAATGAAGAAAATCGGTGAGGTCTACGTCCCCAAAACTGAAGAGGAGTTCACCGACGAAGATTGTAAAAAGATGGAACTCAATGCAAAGGTAATAAACATGATTTATTGCAGTGTTAATGCGGATGACTACCGCAAAATCTTGCGGTATGAAACCGCAGAGCAAATGTGGGAAAGTTGGAGGTCACCTATGAAGAAAAGTTGGTACATCAACGTTTCCACCTTCAACCGCTCCAACGTACCTAAGGCCGTGGAAGATGAAGGAGGAGAAGAAGAAGGGAGTGAAGGAAGAAGACCCGGAAGGAGCACCGGCGGGTGTCCGAGAAATCATGCCGTTCGAGCCTCATGAAGAGTCTAGTCGACGTTCATGAAGAGTCTAGCTTTGTACCTGGATAACTCACCTGTGGGNGAGAATAGCCTTAGTAGCCTAGATGGGGAGTGGGGACTAGCTAGGAAGAAATATCGAATACCTTAGTAACCTCAATAAAAGCTTCAAGATTAGGAGTTCGCTTCCCGTTAATTTCAACAATCCATCGAAGAGCTAAGAGGCCATACCGATGTCCAGGGCTCCCGCAAGACCACCTGAAGAAAACACATAACGTATGACCATACGTTTTATACTTTTATGTGTGTCACAAAACTGAAATATCAGCTAGATGGGTGAAATCTATAGAGGGTGTTTGGGAGTGTGTTTTAAATAACTTTTGACCTTCTACTTCACTGAAATTTAATTTTAAGTGTTTGCTAATCAGCTTAAGGTTATGGATTGTGACTTTAAAGGTGTACATTGTGCTCTAGATTTTTTTGCTTTTCATCAAAAAGCTCATAGTAACTGCTTTATGCTTCTGATTTAGCACTTCTGCTTTTTCAATAACTCGCCACACTCACAAACACCCTCTTAAAATTCTGACCTTGACACATATACTCCGTGGCCTTCATGAGGAAGAAACCCGAGTGAGCGGACAGCAGGGTGAGGATATTGAACAAAGCACCCACACCAAAGCATTGCATGGGTGGTTCCATTCCCATCCCTTATATCAGTTCCCACAAGTAGTTCCATTTCATGCCCCTAACAGAAGACATGCATTGAGAGAGTTATAAGGTACATCATGCATGAATAAATAAGATAAAAAAGGCTGGCTGAAGTTCCCCGACCTGACGAAATATTGTCATGCACAGTTTCTCATCGCCGTGACCTAATGATTGGCAAGCCTCTTCAATGTCACGAAAACAAGTCACCGGCTCCTTGTTGATGGCCAACACAATGTCACCTTCTTCTAATACTTTTTCAGCACTTGAGCCAGCAAAACTACTTTTGACTCTCAAAACTTGCCGTCTAATGGAATCTTTCTTCACGAGGGCCTATTACAATAGGTCAATATTTAATTTTGTCACAGTTTTGGTTAACGCAACCACAAGCAAAGAAACAAGGTGTTAAAGTATCCCGCATTGAGTGGAACTAAGTAACCAATTGGATTCAATCTTTTAATGTGGTTCAGCCCAAGTGTCTTATGGTCAGTCTAGTGACCCCTACCCGAACATAAATCGTATCACAAGGCAAAAAGAAAAATAAAATTGTGTAAATAGGCTTACCTGGATCCAAGCATCACTTAATCCAAAACTGCGAGCCTTGGAGAGCAAAGTAGGATAAAGTTCAACTTCCAAAATTCTCATAAGTGGCATAGGCTTTTTGACACCAAATGTAGGACGATGAGGTCCGTAAGTACCCAAAATAATCTTGTCAAGGACACGACTTATCGCGAAAATTGGAATTCCACGGTTAAATGTATCATTTTGTGCTGAATATTTTGAACCAGAACCATTATCCAGCTGTTAATACAAATACATCTATCAAAACTTGCTACCACGAAAAGCCTTTTGAAAAGCTTACAAAATGAGAAATAAGTCAATCAACATGGAAGTTATTGCCCTTGACACAGAGTTACAAATGCCAACCTGAAATGAAAAGCATCCCCATAAGGCTTGAACCCTTCCATGCTCATCAGTCAGCACACCACTAAATTGTTTACCAAAATCTGAAACAGAAAGGGAAATATCATGGATTTAAAAAATGTCTCCAGACAATGGAACAAATCAGATTCCAACATTGTGGAGATTCCAACTTACCAGTGTCAAGGGCAATAACTTCCATGTTGATTGCTCTATACCGTGGACATTCAGCTGATTCAATATTCAGGGCCTCATGAGAATTTGTAACAATCGATTTCCTTGAGATTGCCTGCAGGCTTGTGTTTAATGCCACAAGTGACACTGGATCACCACGACAAAGCAGGGGTTCTGCTCACAGCCAATCAAAGTTAAGTTGGCATAATGCGTTAAATATAAACTAACACTGTCATATAGGACCAGTACTACCAGATACACAATGTAATCATTTCAGGTAATATAAACTTTAAGCTTTCTCTAACACCACTTAAAAACAAAAACTAATCCAAAAGGCTGTAGAGGAAACTTTTTCTTGACCAAAAAAGGGCATTGCAAAAAGTAGAGGCATAACCATTTTCATCTTTTATATAATCCACAAAGTGAAGGTGAGCTTTTCCCAATTTGTAATCTGAAACTATAATGAAAATTGTGCCTTAAACCCATATACTGTGAAGAAGAGCGTAAATTTTTTATTACCGGGAAGAAGCTCAGCCGCACGAACTGCAGAGTAGCCAAGAGGTCCAAGAGCAGAAGGATCATATGCTACAAGAGCAAAATTGTGGACAGGATCAAGGAAAACCACCTGTTGGAAACACAAACTGCTTAAAAACAAACAAATAAAATAACATTTAAATTTCAGCCCAAAAATACTAGTAATTACAAAGCCTACCTCCCCAGGGATTTCAATTGGGAAAGCAGCAAATGACAGCATGACATCAGAAGCTAATGCTACAACAGTGGTTTTATCTACAGCAACCAAACCCATATTTTGTGAATGGTATACAATCACGCCAGTTCCAGAAAGATGTTGCGAGTGCACAGCATCCACCATACACGATGTTGGCACATCAACCTACAAATTTGACACCATAACAGGGATCAAATGAACAAAGGATGTAAGACTAGCACATATATCTCAGGTCTGGAATTTTTGTAGTCTCTAAAAAGAATAGACTTTAAATACCTGAACAGTACCTAATACATTTCAAATTTAAGACTGAATCATGCATTGAAAACTAGATGCAAATATAGCGTGTATAACCAAAAGTCAATAGCCCTTTTTTGGGTTGCAGGAGAATTTCTAAACAGATTACAAACATTAACCAAGACTACATTTGATTACAAACCATCCATACCAAATGATCAAAATGCACAAGAAAAAAAGAGAGTAACTAAAAAATACAAAAAAAATACATTCTACATGTCCAACTAGTAATATAAGCATCACGCATCCAAATGACCGGTTAATAGGTAAACAGAAATAGCAAAAATGATCTGCCTTAGGGTAATAGTATCTACTTTTGTCTTCCATTACATTTATGTAGCATTGTGCCGAACATGCAACTGGTGTCTAAAGCTGCACCATAACTCCCACGGATCCTTCAAATGAAGTGTAGGCCACTCACTCATAGCGTATTAGCAATGCTACACATACAGTCATCCAACATGGAAACCCAAATTTTAAGTAGCACACATCTCCATTACCTCAAGTATCACAGTGAAAACAGTACTTCCAAAACAGTACATATTACACTTCAAGAACTATCTAGCTTTCCACTTCTTAGCAGTAAAATTAATTGAAATCCTATTATTAAAATAATCATTAATTGCATGTCACCTTAAGATAAATTAGAATAATAAAAAGAAATAAGACCAAAAAAAAGCTTCAATGTTAGTCTGGAAAAACTATATCCAGGAGGTGCACAAATAATTTTGTAGCCACTTTTACATAGGCGTAAAAGAAGTATGATTCATAGCAAGAGTAATGACTAGGTAAAGAACTAACGATTCTGCTGTTGTGTGCAATAAAGTAACCATTTTCCATTTTATCGATCAACACAAATGGTTCAGTGGGGGGGGGTTGCAAATTTTGATTATTTTTTGTTCACTAAGATGATTGGTCCCACTTCAAAAGAACACGAGGAGAGAAAAAAAATACACAAATAGGTACCTCACACATAACAAGAGTGGGCTCAATCACATGCTCAGAACCTGAGGCATTAGCTGTCTTTGTTCCATCAGCTGATGAGTTTTCTTCCACCTTTTTCTTCATTCCAGAATCAAGATCATCCTGAGACTGTGGTGCCTCTATCGAGATTTCATAACTACTTTCTATATCTGCAACACCATGGGTTGACTCTATGCTAACATGTTGAGACACGTTATGAAGTGACAGGTCTTGTTTGACAGGAGTTGCATCAGAAAGAAGAACAGAGTCAGGTGATAAAGCCGACTTTGCCGACCATAATCCAGAACTGTCATCGCGAGTGTATATCTGAGGAGGCGCATACCACTCATGGCGGTCAACTGTGATTAATACAGACTGCATCAAGCAAGAGTTCCACAAGTTAGTTAACAAGAAGTAATGGTAAGAAGTAGCAGTTAATAAAATATGGTCTCAAATGGAACCACAAATACCTTTCTCCTGTGAGGATCAGTGTAGCTTATGTACTCCAGTGGTACTCTAGAACCCTTAGACAACTTGGACAGGACAGATATTAAATCTACAAGGTTCGAAATATCTTCGCCAGCAAATTTCTTAATGATGGAATGATTAGGTACTCCGGATTTAAATAACATATATCTGCAATTGCAATGAATGTGACAGGAAATAGGTCACGAGTTACTATTCCTCACAAGCATAACGTAAAAGATTCCACTAGTAGAGATTTCTGTATTCCAGAAGCATTGTATAATATTATACATAAGAGCTAATTAATTAACTTTCAAGAGCTTCAACAACAACAAAATTGACATGCAGAAAGTTAAAGCAAACCCAGATTCTGCAACATAGACAAGGCCACATGGAAAATTGAAATTTCTAGCCTGCGTCAAGGAGGGGAAAAAAGGGTAAGAAATCATTAACCGCGAGGACCAACATAAATATTGTAATTTTTAGTATTTTTATGGAATGATGGATTAACATGATTTATACGATATATCATGGAAACATCAGGACAGGGATTGCTCTGTGTAGATAAAGGCCATAGCAAAATAAGCAAAGTAGGAATTTTGAGGGATATTGTGGCGCTGGCGAGATGTTTGTAAAGTAGCACATTTGGGTATTGTTCTTGATTGGTGAGACCCTTAAGGTCTTGGAAAAGCAAGAAACAAGATGTCGCAAGATCAAGTGCAAAAGCAGAATGCCGAGCAATGGCTCTAAGATGTAATACATAGATCTCATTTTATAAAAGCTAGCAAGTATAACTACAAACCTGCTGATAAGAAAGGGGGTGTATCACTGCACCACTAACTTCCAAGAAGTGGTCAGGAGTTATTGAGTGCAAATCCTGGATCTGAAATTAATTGAGGCAGTTAGCCCATCGTTATGGATTGGCATAGCACTAGAAAAGCCAAAAATAATGATGATGGTGATGATGATGATAACAACAAAAACAACTGAACAACAAAAAGTTACATATATAATACACACAAAAAAAGTTACGCAGAACAATATAAAATTTTGCAATCATCCAATAGGATACATCATGCATGAAAATAGCTTATCACCAGAATAAAAGCTCGGTGAAGCACAAACTCACCATTAAGTCGATGGTCAACGAGGCACCGCCTCTTTCGATTTTAAGTTCAACTTTGTTTCCAACATTGTCATCAAGTAGAGTTTCGATATCCAGGAAATGTGTAGTCACCTGCAATAGAAGTTTGAAGGAGAAATATTGGGACAAAAATATGAAAAACCATAGAGTGTTGGGAAGTTGGCTTTCCAGCCAGCTTTTGGCTGGTTTGACAATCTTTAGTTACTTTGACGATCAAAGAAGCTTAAGTGTTCGGCAGTTGGCTTTCAAAGTTGGCTCCATAGTTGTTACGGCAGCTAGGCAAGGCTGGGCGCTAGAGCACCTTCCAATCACCTAGGCGATTAGGCGTCCGCTGGGCGAGTGGGCTATGCCGCCCATAATAATTTTGTAGGTACTAATGTTAAAGCATATAGTATGAAATAATTATTAAAAATGAACATTGATGGCAACTTTATGAAATAGAGTATTATACTATATATATATATAAGCCTACTCCAATAAAGTGAGCTTTTAAAAGGCCTATTAAATTTTGGGCCTTATACTCTTGTGTAAAGGTCCAATAGTCTTTTGATGAATCTAGCCCAGTTATTTGACCTAGTCCACTAGTCTAAATGATAGAGAGATAGAAAGAGACAGTGGAGGTCACTGCAGATCTGGAAGCCGCTGCAGCCGGCGACAAATAATCGGCAAGAAAGATAAGTCTTCTTTCAATCTCCTCCTCCGTCTTCTCTCTCTATCTCATGCGTTCCCTTGCGCTTCTAAAACGGAGACGCGTCTCCGAGATGGAGACGTTTCCGTACAACACAGAGTCGCCCAGGGAAAAAAAGATAGGTGACCAATTTGGCGTCCACAAAACCTCGCCCAGAAGCCTAAGTGTCGCCTAGGCAACGCCTTGATAACTATGGTTGGCTCTGTTAGGTTTGAAAAGCAAAAACTTGAAAAGCTGGGGAGTGGTTTTTTGGCTTGGGTGTTAGACAAAATTTGAGTATTTTTTGCCATTTTGTCCATATAAATAAATAAATGTATTTATTTAATTATTTTTATTTATTTAAAGGTAACACTTCCTGTGTTCCATAATAATTGCAGCGCCCAAAACCTTGAACTGTTCACACACCCTTATTTGACCATCCTCTTATATTATACAATAACAACAACAACCCTGTAGAATCCCACAAACGCTGGGGAGGGTTTGTGTACGCAGATCTTGCCCCTACTATGAGTAGAGAGGCTGTTTCCAAGAGACCCCATTCATACAAGCAAATTGTGTGTGTGTGTGCGCGCGCGCATAGTCCCTCCACTCCAAAATAGGTCAATCTGAAAATAGAAGCCCAATTCCTTTTTTGGTAAGGAATATGTGGTCATCATTATTTCTCTTTAAGATCAATTTCAACCATACACTTTTTTTTGTAAGGAATAAGGAACGAAGATATGAGAACGAAAGTTGGAGTGACACCTATTATTGAACTTTGGACATGTGAAGAAAAGAATAGAGCATCCAATGAGAAGGGTAGATCAAATGAAAATAGACATGTGGCTAGAGGAAGGGGTAGACCTAAGAAAACTTTGCACGAAGTGGTCAAGGGTAATCTATGCGTGAATGATCTCGCTGGAGATATGATACATGATAGGGCACAATGACATCATTTGATCCATGTAGCCTACCCAACCAAGTGGGCTAAGGCTTGATTGTTGTTGTAGATTAATTCCAACCATATACTTTCCACTTTTCAACACTTTTCTAGATTGTGTTCAATCAAAGTGGACTTTTAATTTGGAGAGGGAGTATAACTTATTTATTTATATATAGAAACATGTCCTTATATGTAATTTTATGTAAAAACATCTATTTACAAATAACTAATTTTACTAAACATTTTTACAATCAGCCACTCAAAACCGCTAAACTTATCAATCTTTCAAACGTGCTAAGGGTGAACGCCCAATGGCAAAACAAGTGACACATCCAATTTCCATAAAGAGCCAAAATCCCCAAGCCAAAACATGAATATAACAAAAAATAGTATCTGGTTGTATGCTACATGAACCAATGTTAAATTTCCCGAGGTCATCCAAAACACACATAAAATTTAACAAAATAAGATTCAACTAATCAAGCAATTTTTTTATAATACCAAAACAATTACTCCCTCCGTCCCACTGTTTTTGTCCACTTACTTAATTTGGTAAGAAAAACTTATCTAAAAGTCCGTTTTACCCTTCATGCCAATAAAATCACTTCCTCCATTAATATCCTCATATTCCCATCCACCCATCATTTACTCGGCCTCATCTTACTCCGTATATGTGTGGCGAAGCTCCTTCTCCATTCTAGATCCTTCTCCTTTCGTCTCCTCCTACCCATCTCTTGCGAAGCAATCTTGTTATCTCTCATGTTCTTCTTCTTTAGATCCGATCTCGTTCTCTCTCATATTTTTGCTTAGAACAGATCTCGTTCTCTATCATCATCTAGCTTAGATCCGATCTCGTTCTCTCTCATCATTTTGCTTAAATCTGATCTTTCTAGAAAAATAAATGGAGTCCTCCTTTCTGAGCCATTCATTGAAGCTGCGAAGCTGGAATTTGATCCAAGCTTCACTATTCCACTGGATTATCATGCACCGTCTGAAAAGGCAATTTTAAAAATCTGGCTTCCATTGATTTTTAAGCAAGAGGGCAGGGGTTCTAATTTTAGATTTGGAGGCAAATTTTTTTTCAACTTCACGTGTGGTTAAAGGAGGAAAATGCACTGCAAAGTGCTTTGTACAGTACATATGTAATGCTTAATGCATCCTACAGTGATCAATTTGATTTGATAGTTTTTTTTCCTATCCTTCTCATTGTGGCCCATAAGGGCATTTTAGTCCTTTTATACTCTCTTGTCCCACTTACTTGGTAATTGTGCCAAAAGTAAAGTGGACAAAGAGAGTGGGACAGAGGGAGTATATTGGAAAATAAGAGTTTCCAAGCAATTGAAGCTGAAGACTCTATGAAAGTTGTTTGACGCCAGTTGCAGAGCAGAATACTGATTGTTTGTTTAACAGAAATGTCGATAAATGGGAAAGGAGAGTGGAAATCAACAGAACTAATGGTAGGACAACAATTCATAAAGAAAAACAGCTATAGCCTTATATAAACTGTTAAGGACAACTAATCATTACTTAAATTGATGCATTGACTCACGGACAAGATTGCAAGGAACATACCAAGAACTTATGTGCACTTTGGAATGGCCACCAAGCACATCACGTATATGTACCATTCATTAAGTTCACGTGTCTAACAACTTAAAAAGTGGCACTAACCTTCCCATTCATACAAACAAGCACATCACCTGGCTTTAAGCGATTATAAGCCGGACCACCAGGCACCTGAAATAAACCAATATTTTCTCTAGTCAAAAGGGATATACATGAAATAAGATCTACTCCCTTCCGAACCATTTAGGTTCTAATGCGAAAGTGCCATGCGAATCAAGAAAATAAAATTGTGAGGTTAAGATTTATTTTGGAAAAATAGAAAAAAACCACCCACGCAATTGTTCCCTAAAAAGGAAAGGGAACATTATTCTGGGACAACTGAAAAGGAATAGAGAGGACCTTGTGTTCCAGTTCCTCCCGGGCGAGGGAGTGTGTGTGCGCTTGTGTTACAAAAGCATCAAAGATGACATACCACAGAATCAACAACAAGCATTCCAGTTTCTCCCAGCCGAGATGAACTTCGCATCAACTGATTAGTAACAGAGACATGATAAATTTATTTATTTGAGGCAGATTAACAAACAAACCCTCAGTTCTATTCACATATACCTGTTCTGTTTCACTTTGAACACCAAGCCGACGGGTCTCGTCAAATCCTTTATGAACAAATGTCACCTATACCAAAAATAGCCAAACTTGAAACTTACCCTTACCATGCAAGGAATAGAGATTTCAATATGCAGATGCCAGTGACATTTGGATTTTAAAAATATGAAAGAAAATTTCAGCCAATGTTCTGAATATGCATATTATTTAGAACTCAACAAACAGACAATTGTAAAGAATCTCGACGACTTATTAGCTCCCAATGTTCATAAATAACTAAAAGAGATGTAATGATGTTTCCAGTGGCAGAGCCGGGATATAAATGTTGGAGGGGCACCGACTAGAGAGTGGGGTTCGGTTGTTGCGACCTCGAACTTTTTTTAATGCAATTTAAAATGAAAAAAAATTATCTCATGCAAATATTCAAATAGTCAAACTTAAAGTCTCAAATTATATACTCTAAAATACTCCGTAATAAAAATAACAAATATGTCCGTAACTAATGAATATGTTGTACATCTAAGTTAAAAATGAACTGAATGCCTGTGGGATTGAACTGTGTACTCTGAGAAAGGAAAGTGATTTAGACTGTCATCCAACGAAGCATATCTAGCTACAGTGCTTTTAAGACAAAAAACTAGTAAGTGACACAAAAGCTCTCAACCTTCATAAGGATAAATAATAACAGACCTGAAGTGTGCCACGAGGAATAGAAACTGCCTTCCATTCTTCTGTAGAATCTCTTCCTTTTTGCAAAAACTTTAAAGCCCTTACAACCTAAACCAAGTGAAAATCACACTGATTGGGCACATTCAATAAAATTTTCTGAAATTTAATAAACCTAAATCCAATAAAGATGTGTAAAAGGATAAAGGAGGCTTAACGCATTGCATGAGAGCAGGAAAATGATGTGTAAGTTATAATGTTATTCAATGGTTTTTATGCGTGAATGGCTACATATCTGGGAGATATGCCATCATAAAGCTACAGTTTGTCTTTGTAGAAAATGAAATAAAGCTACAGTTTGTTTGTGTCTTATCTGAAGTAAAAATCATTTAACAAATACAAAAAAATGAAAAATATGTTATTACTCGCTCTAAAGGGAGGAAAAAAGCAGAGGCACTTGATGTATTTCTCCCTCCTGCATTTAAAGCAACTGCCCTGCCCTGCCAGTCAATTACAGGAGAGCCACTTGAACCGCCCTTAGTTCCAGATGCAGCCTGTAGGTAAGTAACAAAAGAGAAGACTAAGAGATTATGCATAAGTGTCTAGTGGGCAAGCAAAGCAGCTGCTATCATTCACAGCCTAAGAAAAGGTAGAAAAATTGCCAAGCTTACTTGAATATAGAATGTATTGAAATCATTGTAGCCATCACTGCACCAAAAAGAAAATCATCATAGAAAAGTAACTTACGTGAAAATCTCAAAATCTTACATGATACCATGATGGATTTTAATAAAATGAGCCAAACAAGTTTAGTTGACATTGGTTTACTCTACCCAAACTGCATAGATAAATTCAATAGAACTCCATATTAAATATTCCAAAAGCTCAAGCATAACTTACAAAAACCATTTACATTCAAGTTTAATCTGAAAAAGATTTTTACATCAAATCTACAATATACCCATGTTTATTCTTAATCTTTTCAAGTTGAATTATCTGCTATTTGCGATCTACTCTATTTACTTCAACTTGTCATTGTGCCACTTTCTTTACAATTCAAGCGGGAACCCCTATGATAATAACAGATTAAGAATTTCAACTCACTTTTCCTTTCTAAGAGCGTAACGAGTTACGAGAAGAACCCCCCCCCCATAAAGTAAACTTGTTTGCTGATGGACAATTGTGGGAGCAGACCTAGGGGAGATTATCAGAATTGGTTTTCAACTGTGTAGAGTGCCTTCTCAAAGACCAACTAGTCTTTAAATTTGACATTTAAATTGAGAAGATGAATATTGAGGAGTCCGGAATCATCACTCTCTATTTTCAGTATTCTTATCTTGGGGAGGATGGGGGGCCAATAACAAACAAGTAACTTCAAAAGAGAACATACTTTGAGTAAACTGGGGCATCTCTATCCAAACGAGCAAGGGTTCCAGCCAAAATAGATACCTGAAAATCAATCCACAACAGCAGGCAAAATATTTATTTTCAAGAAGGGAATGGTGGTATAGGACATTTATTAAAAAACAAAAGCAGATGCCCAAATAAACAGTCTCAATCTCTCAGTTTAAAATGCACACCTATATGAGGGCAGGATTGATGGAAACAAAGACGTTTGCTACTTCAAAAAAGAAAGTTCATAACAATCCGTGAACAGTGAAGAGGATTCCAAAACTTGTCCTTCGAAGGCTGGTAAATACAAACTATTCTATGAAAAATAAAGAGCCACCACCATGTGCCCCCCAAATAGAACCATGGTACATATGAAATCAAGTAAATTGGTCGGTCCATATTCACTCTTGTATGCAAACTCTTGAAGACATCTCGGTAACTAATCAACTATTAGCCAATCCTTCTTTTGAGTCAAAACACCATCACCCCGCCTTGTTATACGCAATAGTAGAGCAATACAAAACCGGTGCAGAAAAAATTACACCAGTGTGAAAGGTGATAAAATTTTCCGCATTTTACGTAAAATCTTAAAATGTTAGATAAGTCCATTTCTGTGTTGTTACATTGTTAATTGTTAGTAGATCATAGATGCTCATGGAGGAAAAATATCTTCCATTGCAAATGGAACTAAAAGAATCATTTTTATGATGTTCTAGGTTTGAGCCGATAACGGACTAAATCAAAATGGCACTTCTAACTTTCCGTGCTTCTTACTTTCTTGTGACACAATGAACTAAATGCAATAAACCATGCCGAAAGCACACACAACATAAATATAAAAAAATCAACTCAAATTGCAAATTATCAACATTACACATGAAAAGCACACCAAATGCTCACTTCAAATACCACAATATATCTGTATGTTTGGCAGGCCAAAAATGCTATTTGAAGGGTTCGGTAAAGTAGCATTTTCTATTTGTAAAATGATGATTTGAAAATGCTGAAAAGATGAACATTTTGAAAACAACATTTGGGTATTAGCATTTTATTCATAATTTTTAGTATTTCTCTTAACTAATTAGAAATTAGACATCTTAAAATTTATAAAGTGCTAGTCACATTTTATTGTTTTCGTCTAAATCATTTAATCTTTTTAAAATTTTAATTAAATTCCAACATGAAATTCAATAAGAAATCAAGAAAGTACAGCCTTTAAAAAAATTACTACTCCGTGGAATATACAGAGCCCTGATAAAGGGAAGTAATGCCTTTTCTCCACTATCATTGCCGACCACCCTGATTTCAAGCCCCACATGAGCAGCCTCTGGAGCGAGAGGGATTTCTTCGTAATCCAGAAATTGTATTGCCGCAGGATCATAGCGGAAGAAACCGAAATCATGAACCTATGCAAACAAAACATACTCAGGAAGAGTTAACCGTAAGAGCACAGGGAGGGGGATAATTGAGGGTCTACATGTAATAAAGATAACTAAATACCGTGAAGCCCGGGACTTTAAATAGGATTTAAAGTTGAGCTTTTCAAAACTTTATTTTTTATATTTTAAATATACATCTTCTAAAATTAAATTAATGAAATTAAGTTATTTAATTATTTAAAAGAATTGAAACGAGAATAGTTCATTAAAAATTACATTTATTTTAAAAAACTACATTCATTAAATAAAAAAATTACATTCATTAAATAAAAAAATACATTCATTAAATAAAAAAATTACATTCATTAAATAAAAACATTATATTCATGACAAAATAAATAAAATACTTGAATAATAATTTTTAAAACAAAGATGATAGATAGGGAGAGATTTGTATTTGTGTCGAATTTAAAAAAAATGATTCAATTTAGAGAGAAGGAAAGAGGGAAAAAAGAAGGAAAAAAAGATTTTTTTTATTTGTAATGGCATTATAGCCGTTGTGGGGGGGGAAGGGAGGAGTTCCAACGCCTTCAAGCCGCGTCAAAAGTTTGACGCAGCAACTTTAACGAGGTCATAACTGGGGAGGGACGGTGTTTACTGTCCCCCAGGCATCAAAAGTCTCTTAACGTGGTAATGGAGTGGGGAAAATGGAAGAAAACAATGATATGATATTAAAAATAATATTAATAATATTATGGAGGAAAATAGGAGGGGACCCATTAGTGATTCTCTAAGGCTCTGTTCCGTTCAACTTATTTTTTTTGATCTGATCTGATTTTTTGTAATTCTGATCTGGTCTGATCTGATCTAATCTGATTGGATCTCATCTGATCTGATTGGATCTGATCTGGTCTGATCTGATCAGATCTCGTCTGATCTGATTGGATCTGATCTGATCTCATCTGATTGGATCTGATCTGATTAATTATGATTTGATTTAAAATTCAAATCAATAATTTGATTTGAGTTTATAATAACGTTTGAAAATTGTAATGATTATTTTATAATTATTTTTTAATAAAATAAAATTAGTTAATTTATATATTAGAATAATCATTCATATTTTACTGTAATAATATTTTTTTATTTTATGATTATTGTTTGTGAAATAAGAATATTGATTTAATATTTTAATAATTAGTTCATACATACATTAGAATAAATATTGAATTTATATAAAATCAATACAGAGAAGAGATAGTATTTTTATTAAAATATCTCATCCTTATAACAGATCAAAACTTTAGAAACTCAAATTACATGTAGCAATAAAAATATATTTTAAAAGTAGAATTAGATTGACATTGTCAATGTATTTTAAAAATAAGTTTTTCAACTTCTAATAATTAAGGATTAATTTCTCGATCAGTTTTCTATTTAACTTGTTTCTAAAGTTTATTCTTTTTCTTTCTGAAGAAGAATAATAATAATAATAATAATTATAATTATAATAATAATAACAACAACAACAACAAGAATAATAATAATAATAATAATAATAATAATAATAATAATAATTCTTTATGAGATCTGATCTGATCTGGTCTGATCTGATTGGATCTGATCTGATCTGATTAGATCTGGTGTGATCTTATCTAGTCTGATTGGATCTGATCTGATTTGTTCTGATCTGATCTGATCTGATCTGGTCTGATCTGATCTGATTTTAATAAGAATAAGAAAAAATAAGAAAAAATAAGTTGAACGGAACAGGGCCAAGTCCTTTAACTTTGGGATAAAATAACTTTGTTCTTAAATTCTACTTCCTTCATCCCAATTTACATTGTCTGTTTCAGTTTATAATATTTAATCGAACTTATTTTCAAATCATTTTAATGTAACGAATTTACACTACCAATTATGACTATGTGCATTACCAAAGCGTAGAGTAAAATACTCATGTATAGTATCACATTATCACAGTATGAACTCCTATTTAGAGAAAAAAAAACATGGATCTTCTATTTTGATACATTCTCTATGTTTTACTCCTGTTTAGGGTAATTTCTTTATAATTTAACAAATTAAAGCAATTCATTTACTCATAAACCTCATCGCACGGCTTTTTTGGAGCGTTCAATTTGAGTACTATACAATTTGATAATAATATGAGTTACATCGAGATATATATATATAGCTGTTGGTTCTAGTGAGAATGCGATCTTAGGAGAGAAATGAAAATGAATTTGGGCTTTAGATTGTGAGATCTAAGGGTCGGGATTGCATCAAAAATAGGTACACCAAAATGGTTTGAAAATGCATCACGACGAAATGCACCAAAATCCTTTGAAAATGTACAATCTCAAAATCTGAGCTGCCCGATGCATCAGATGCAACGGCTAGATTTTATTCTCATTTCTCTCCACAAGGTATATTCTCACGGGAACCGGCCTATATATATATATATATATATATATATATATATATATATATATATATATATATATATATATATATATATATATAGGGATTGACTCTAGTGAGATGACACCTTATGGTGCGATAACATGCTTCGGTCAGATGACGCAAAGCTCACCACTGCCTACTGCAAAGCTCACCAAGCACAAGCACAAAGCTCACCAAACTGTAATGCAAAGCTCACCATATTTTTTTCAACACTTTGAATTTTTTTTGAAAAAATAAAATCAAAGGAAGGGGTGCTGACTAGACTTTGACCGTGACTCCAGCATTGACTGCCGCCTGCCGCCGCCAGTTGCCGGCCGCCGCCGCCGGTCGCCGGTCTCTGCCCCCGTCGGTCGCCTCCGCCGCCGGTCTCTGATCTATGGTCGTCGCCAGTTGCCGCCGCCGCCATACTCTGGTCGCCCGCCGCCGCCGGTCACCGCCGCTGCTCCGCCGCCTGTGGCCGCCGTTGACCGGTGGTTGACCGGTGTTGATATTTTATTTTTGATTAATTTTTTAATTTTCAAAATTAAAAAAAAGGTGAGTTTTGGGGTTCAAAGTGGTGAGTTTTGCTTTATGCCGGTCTCTGCCGTCGCCGGTCTCCGCCGCTGCCGTTGTCGCCGTCGCCGGTCACCGCCGTCGCCGGTCACCGCCGCCGCCGGTCTCCGATCGCTGGTTGCTGCCAGTTGCCGCCGCCGCCAGTCGCCGGTCACCGCCGCCGCCATACTCCGGTCGCCCGCCGCTACCGGTCACCGCCGCTGCTCCGCCGCCTGTGGCCGCCGTTGACCGGTCGTTGACCGGTGTTGCTATTTTATTTTTAATTAATTTTTTAATTTTCAAAATTAAAAAAAAGGTGAGTTTTGGGGTTCAAAGTGGTGAGCTTTGCTTTATTTCCAAGTGAGCTTTGCATTGTCCATTGGTGAGCTTTGTAGTATAGTGTGGTGAGCTTTGCGTCATCTGACCGAAGCATGTCATCACACCGTAAGGTGTCATCTCACTAGTGCCACTGGGTTTTTGGGGCACCTCCGGTGCTCCGTTCATAAAATTGACGGTTCATACCCCCCTAACCCACCCCTAAACCCCCCACCCTACCCCCCACCCCTGCACTCCCACCCCAACTCCGCCGTAACCCCCCACAAATTAAAATGTGTGGCTATTATGCAATGCATAATAGCCACACATTTTGTGGGGGGGTTATGGCAGGGTTGGGGTGTGGGTAGGGTGGGGGGTTTAGGGGGTGGATTAGGGGGGTAGGAACCGTCAATTTTATGAACGGAGCACCGGAGGTGTCCCAAAAACCCAGTGACACCGCTAGTGGTACTGTTCTCCGGTGTCACTAGAACCGGGCCGTAATTACATATTCAAAGACTTTTATACTAGTAAAGCTATATTGATTACGCCCCTAATATCATGATTATATATATTCATAGACTTTTATACTAGTAAAGCTATATTGATTATGCCCTTAAAAGTGTACTACAAAAAAAGATAAGCTCTGTTAGCGGGTATTTGTATTTGGTTTGTATTTAATTGTATTGGGCCCACATGTAACCTAGCCCGTTATGTAAACGTGTATATATACGGTTTGTGTTAATGAATCAACCAGATCAGTTTTACGCTAAAATTCTACATGGTATCGGAGCCAAAACCCTAGGCTTTCACGCGTCTCTGCTCTCCGGCGTACGATCGGCATACCCACGTCTGCGCCGTTTCTCCGTTTTGCTTGTTTTTGATCGTGGCTTCTTCTCCAGCAAAGGAAAAAGCACAATCCACTTGTGCTTGGAAATTATTTTTTTTACACTTTGCTGCACGATCCACCCACTTGTGCTTGGACTTTTTCTATACAAGAAAAGTTCCGTTCTTTGCTTGGCCGTGGTTACTTCGTCCACTTGGTGGCAGTTTTTTGAAGATTTTTCCATTCCACTGGTGCTGTTATCTCTCTTGGAATACTTTTATCAGTTGCCATGTCTTCGGATCAAATTGGAATTGCATGCCTCTTTTCCATGTTTGATTCTACCCCTTCGTCTTCTGATAAACTCCAAGGTAAGTCTGTCTCTGTACCTTGCGAATGGTTGGTGGATAGTGGAGCTTCTCATCATATGACAGGAGTTTTATCTTATTTGTCGGACATCAAATCCGTGTCTCCTTGTACGATTAGCTTACCTGACGGAGCACGTGTCGTGGCCAACTCATGTGGACGAGTGCAAGTCTCTCCAACTTTGGTTTTAACTAATGTTCTTTATGTGCCTAATCTAAAGTGCAACTTGATCTCTGTGAGTTGTCTTGTCAACTCTCATAACTGCCATGTTTTTTTTGATGACCAATTTTGTGTGATACAGGACCGAACATTGAAGACGCAGATTGGACGATGTGAAGTGCACAATGGGGTTTATGTCTTTCCTTCTTTCGCCCAGGTATCCAAAGCCGAATCAGTCTCTCTTTTGCATCAGCGTCTTGGCCATCCATCACCTCAAGTTTTGTCTTTGCCTCCTTTTAATAAAAGTGCAGCTGAAATTAAAAATTTTTAGTCATGCGACATTTGTTTCTTTTCAAAGCAAACTCGTTCTAGTTTTTCGTCGAGTCTTAATAAAGCTGATGCCTTGTTTGATTTAATTCACTGTGATTTATGGGGGCCATATTCTCCGTGTTTCTCTACTAGTTCTCATTATTTTCTCACCATTGTTGATGATTATTCTAGAGCTGTTTGGGTTTTTCTTATTGTGGACAAAACTAAAGTTACTAGTTGTCTAAAAGAGTTCTTCCAAATGATTCAAACCCAATTTGGAAAAGTTATAAAAATTGTACGCACAGATAATGAGACTGAATTTGTGAATAAACCCTTGCGTCAGTTTTATACAACCATGGGGGTACTGGTTCAAACGTCATGCGTCAACACCCCACAACAAAATGGGCGTGTGGAACGTAAACACAGACATATCCTTAATGTCGCTCGTTCTTTAATGTTTCAAGCTTCTTTGCCTCTTGAATTTTGGGGTGACTGTGTGCGTACAGCTGTGTATCTTATTAATCGTACCCCTACTCCTCTCCTTCAGGGTAAATCACCCTTTGAACTCCTTTCTTCAAAACCTCCAGACTTGTCTCTTTTAAGGGTATTTGGGTGTTTATGTTATGTACGTCTCAACCCTCGTCCGCAAAATAAATTTCACCCCCGTAGTCTTAAATGCATGTTTGTGGGATATCCTACGGGGACTAAGGGTTGGCGTGTCTATGACCTTGAATCCCATCGGTTTTTCTATGCCCGGGACGTTTCGTTTGACGAAACGGTTTTTCCGTTTGCATTGTCTTCTAAATCACCCACGCCTCCCGTCGTCGAGTCCACCACCCATGCCGATTTCCCGACCACCGCACCCACTGCCGAACCCAGTCCCGCCGTCTCACCGATACCTGCGGCGTCCCCGTCATCCTCCGGGCAGTCTTCTCCTCATTCCCATAGCGACGGCGAGTCTGACCCGGACAGTCCGCCGCCGCCTGTTCGTCCCACTCGTGATCGGCGACCTTCTGCACGGTTTTCCGATTACTACTGTCATACCGCCCGGACATCTACTCCCATTGTTCCTCACATTGTCTCGTCTAAATCTTCAGGTACGCGATATCCTATCCACAATTTTGTTCATTATGAGAAATTACATGACAGGTACCGGGGATATTTGGCTGCTGTGACTTCGTGTGAGGTTCCAACGTCCTTCAAGCAGGCCATGCAACATGATAATTGGCGGAAGGCTATGCAACAGGAGATTACTGCGTTGGAAAATAATCACACATGGGAAGTTACTGAACTCCCCCCCGATCGGACGGCTCTTGGGTGTCAGTGGATTTACCGTACCAAGTTTCACTCGGATGGAACAAAGGAGCGTGATAAAGCTCGCCTGGTTGTTTTAAGGAATCATCAGGAGTTTGGTAGAGATTACACAGATACTTTTGCTCCCGTAGCAAAGATGGGTACGGTGCGTATTTTATTATCTGTTGCTGTTGCACGCGGTTGGGAGATTCATCAGTTGGATGTTAATAATGCTTTTTTAAATGGTGATCTGATCGACGAGGTGTATATGCGAATGCCTCCTGGCTTTTCTATCCCCGGCAAAGTTTGTCGTCTTCGGAAATCTTTATATGGGCTTCGTTAATCTCCACGTAATTGGTTCCATAAACTTAGCACTGCCCTTCGTCAGTGGGGGTTTAAACAGGCTCATAAGGATCATACTCTGTTTATTCTTCATAAGGGCCCGGATATTCTTACGGTCCTCGTATATGTTGATGATATTTTGGTTGCAGGCAATAACCCCTCTTTATGCACCTCTTTTAAACAATATTTGGACAGGTGTTTTCAACTCAAAGATTTGGGTCCGGTCAAATATTTTTTGGGGATTGAATGTGCCCGTTCTGCATCGGGTATGGTTTTGTGTCAGCGAAAATATGCACTGGAGATTTTACAGGAGGCCGGTCTGTTGGGTTGTAAGCCGGCTGACACGCCGTTACCCACGACGCACACACTAGGCACGTCGACCGCAGCAGTCCTACATGACCCGGCGCGGTACCGCCGTCTTGTGGGTCGTTTGATTTATCTCACCATCACTCGGCCGGATATATGTTATTCTGTCCATGTCTTGTCTCAGTATATGCAGGCCCCTACTCTGGATCACATGAATGCAGCCATGCGTGTCCTTCGCTACATCAAAGGTCATCCGGGTCAGGGCATTTTCCTCAGTGCTAACAGCAATTTACAAATTTCTGCCTATTGTGACTCTGATTGGGCCAGTTGCCCCAGGTCTCGTCGGTCTGCTACCGGGTATTTTATCATGTTAGGAACCTCTCCGGTATCCTGGAAGACAAAGAAGCAAACCACTGTTGCTAGATCGTCTGCAGAGGCAGAGTACAGAGCTATGGCAAATGCTTGTGTGGAAGTCCGTTGGATGCGAGGAATTCTACTTGCCTTGGGAGTTCCTATTTTATATCCTCCCCGATTATCTCGTGACAACCAATCCGCTTTATATATTGCAGCTAATCCTGTTTTTCATGAACGAATGAAGCATGTGGATGTTGATTGTCACACAGTTCGAGAAAGTGTCCAGCGGCATGAGGTGTCGACACGATATGTTCATACTCGATACCAGTTGGCCGATATTTTTACTAAGCCGTTGGGCAAACCTAGTTTTGATTTTTTATTGTGCAAGTTGGGCATTCAGGATCTTCATGCGCCAACTTGAGGGGGAGTGTTAGCGGGTATTTGTATTTGGTTTGTATTTAATTGTATTGGGCCCACATGTAACCTAGCCCGTTATGTAAACGTGTATATATACGGTTTGTGTTAATGAATCAACCAGATCAGTTTTACGCTAAAATTCTACAAGCTCTCCCCGAGATTTTCCACAAATCCGACCAGACGATCATTGAGAGATGATAATTTAGACTTGATGACAAAATAAAGGTGTTACAAAAGTTTTTTATGCTGGTAGAACCTTAGTAGTATAGGGAGTATAGATTAGAACCACATTTTAATGTTTTTTTTACTTATGTCTATTAAGGTTATATTAGGATATAGTACTCCTTGTCTCAGTGTATTTGATTAATTTAACTTTTTCGCATCAAACTGAACAAATAAACTCAAACGAAGAAAGTAATTTAAAAAGAAAAGGGAAATGTAATGCGAAAATAATTAAAACACTCACAGGGTCTCGATACATTGCATAGATGGGAATTTCTTCATTGTTTGTAAACATAGCTTCTGCCACCACCGGCCCTACAAAATAAACAATACGGAGTAGTTTATAAATTTACTCTTGTCCTTAGAGAGTGTGTAGTCACGAAACTTCGAAAGGGGATTGAAATGAGAATGAATATGATTTAAGATCTAAGTGCTATTAAAAATAAAAAAATCTGAAACAATGGAAAAAAACACATTGATAATTATGTAAATAAATCAAAGTTTCCACCCGTTCTGAAAAGGCACTAGTACATGTGCAAAAAAGACCGTGGTGGCCCCAAAATGCACCATTCTCACATTAAGGTTTATTCTCGCAGTAAATATAGATTTTGGTTCTAGTAAGAATGAAATCTTATGAAAAAAATAAAAAAAACATGTGTTGCTTTAGAATGTAAGGTCTAAGGGCCATAAAAGTTTGAAAAATAGAAAAAATAGGAAAAATGCGGTGACAATTTTATAATTAAATCAAACTTTGTAAAATTTACTACCTACTTTGAAAAATGCACCATGGCGAACTATTTGTTTTTTAAAATGCATCATTGGCCAACAAAAATGCATGCACAATTCTCATTTCTTTCACCAAAGTCTATTCTCACAAGAACCACCCCTACATATGTGTGTGTGCATATATATATGTGTGTGTGTGTGTGTGTGGGATCAAATTAAATCCAGTCAGATGACACCTTACGATAAAATGACATGTTACGGTTAGATGACGTAAATCTCACCACTACCAACTACAAATCTCACCCACAGCAACTCCAAAACCCATTAAGCTATATGGCAAAGCTCGCATATTCTTTTTTCAACACTTTGTTTTTTCATTAAAAAACCAAAGGAGTAAAATATATGGGAAAAACAAAATTAGTTTAAGGAAGAAAAACTAAAATAGGAGTAAAATATATGGGAAAACCAAAAATAGAATCCTCATGTTTTATCTCCAAAATAGGATCAATATAATGTCAAAATATAATATCAAAAAGCTTTATCAAATGTCAATTTAGAGTAGCATATTGATACAATGCAATAATTCTATTTTTGAGATAAAAACATGTCCCTCATATTTTGGAGATATGGATTATGTTTTATTTATGTTTTGTATGATTTATTTTAGCTTAATTCATTAGGGCTTGAGATCGTTTTTTCGGACCCTTGAATCCTCAATACCGATCTTGCACTAAATAATGTTAACACGTAATACTATAAAACACTATGAAATGTCAATACAAAAAGAAAAAATTTGCTCCATATAGAACTAAAAGGTAGTACATTTCCACGAATAAGACCAAGTATATTTTATTTCCTTTATGACACATAATTTCATATGATATACCACAAATGTCCTCATTATCGACAAGTGTTGGATACTGATTAATTATACGAATGACTCTACGAATATGGTCATTAGTAATAAGTGTCAATACACCGTACAATGCCGCCAGATCGTGACATTTCACATTGGAAGTACTCAAATTTAAAAGATAAAAATATAGATGGTCTTTAAAAAAAATAGAAGGTAATATTTTTGAAATAAATTAAATTACATATTTTTGTACTACGTATTATTTAGATAAAGTTCTTCAAAAATACTGAACTCACCAGGACTAACAACATGCCTATTGGTGAGTATGATCCCACGACGCTTGTCGACGACAAAGCCGGTTGCGGTGGAAGAACTAGCAAGCGCGGTGTCAAAGTGTCGACAAGCGGTGACGCGTATCACGACCACTGCCTGGACGACCTTGTTGATCGTCCTTCGCCAGTCCTCCGCCGCCGTGGCTTTGTCCATGGAAGATGCTTCCCCCGATCCCAACTTCTCTTGCGAATTCCCCATTCAATTCCTTCGAGCACAGAAAATAATATTTTAAGCCGTCTGATTTTAAGCAAGGGTTATTATTAGCATGCAATTTGCTAGCTAGCCACAATTTATTTATATTCCATGATGGTTTAGGTTGCTTAATGTTGAGGTAAAGTTAGTTCCTAGCTTTCACACACATATTAAGCACCTACCTTTTTACTGTGGAAAGGCTGATTGGCCTAGCCTAGAGATTCTCATGACCATTGGACAAAATAGGAGTACTTACACACATAATGTCTAAAATTCGCCATATTATCCTTGAATACGAGTATAAATTTTGACTTTTGAGCGTTATTCAGATATTTGAGGTGAAATAGAAATGTTTTATGAGATGCGCAAAAAATGAAACTGAAATATCTTCTTGAATTGGGACGGAAGGAGTATATACACACACTTTTTACATGAAAACCTCAATAAAAAAATAAAATCACGGGCCTGCTTGAGAAGGGTATAATAACTTCAAGTAATCACCAAAAATTAAATGAGTACAATAAGTTCTCTATAGTAAACACTAGAGTTAAATACAATTATGAAAGAGATTATATTTTTGTGTGGATATGAAACAGAAAAATTTTGACACAACAACAATCGATAATTTCACCAAAATGTAAAGAAAAAACTAAAAAAAGGCAAGTATGAAAAAGTTGTTAGAGAACTAAATTCTAGGCATCAAAATGATAATTTGACCGTTGGATATGAAAATGAGAGTACAAGGAACAACATACTAAAATTTGAAGATGATTAGACTCTGTTTTGACTTCTTCTTCTTCTTCTTTTCTTATGCGTGATCTGAACACCCTTTCTCCCTATTTTGCTTTTTTTCTACACCCTCCGTCCTAAAAAGAATGCCGCGGTTACTATTTTGGCATCTCATTATGTTTTGTTTGTTTAGTCATTTCGGTTGACCATTTGAAAAAATAAAATATTTTTGTCATCTCTTGTTTATAGAACTTTTGATGTATTTTTGAACAATGTAATTTATAGTTTTTATTTCTCTATCACTTTATAAATAAAATAATTTTAAAAGAAAAGATATTTTTTACACATTGTTCGAAATGTTGTAAAAGTTTTGGGATGGAGGGCGAACTTTATGTTTCTTAGTTGGGATTACCCAAGCTAGTGTATCCCAAGTATATACCACATTCTCATAGACAGACACATACATCCATTATTTGTGTTTTACATAAACAATATAATGGGTGTCTGTGTGTATTTGTAAGAAGGTGATGTACATCTGGAATACACTAATTTGGGATACCTCTAAGTTTTTCCTTCTTAGCTACACATTGGGAGAAAAAGGCCACTACCATTTTGAAAAAAAAGGTTTATAAATAACCTAAGTAAAAATGAGAGATAAAAATACAAATTGGTATAAATTGATGTTTTACCAACGGTATATACTATTTGATGTATCCCTAAGATTACTCATTTGAGTATATAAGTTGCTTCATGTTAAGGTAAAGTTAGACAAAAAAATTACAACGTTATTTGAAAGATTCTCATGATTATTAATTAGACAAAAAATTAACAAAAATATCAATTAAATTTGGATCAGGGGAGTGGACTTTAATGTCATCCATTTACATTGAAATTCAATGTCAATTGAAGCGTGGTGTTAAATTATTCAATTTATACCTAAATGGCTAAATACATTCTATCCCAAAAGTTCGGTAAAACTTTGTGAACATTGATAAAAAAAGGTCAAGCAAAATATTTGGAGGGAGAAATACGCTTTCTTAGTCCTAACGAGGGAAATGATATTTGTACGCTATAATTTGTACCTCATTTTGTTTCGAAGGTATGCTCTAATGTTTTATGTTAGTATGATACTAGTGCGATACTTTACAATGACATAAAATGTCAGTATAATTCTTTTATTGAACTAATATTTTTTATCAGTGAGAATCCTAATAAACCTTATCCATTTTTATTTTACGTTCTTTTTTTTAGTACGGAGTAATAAACATGTCGCAGGGGATGAACGGGCAATATGAATGGAAGCGAAATAAACTTTTTTTTAAAATAATTACTCCTTTCATTTCATTGTATTCGTTCAGTTTGACTTTTTCGAGTCAAAATGAAAAAAATTTAGTCATCAATTACTCTTAATTTATGTTGCATATTAATACAACAAATTAAAATTTTAATATTTCTCAACAAAATAAATTTATTGAAATAATTTGTATACTAAAATACATTACAATTTTTATTTAATTGAGGTCTAAAATTCATCCAGTTTGACCCGAAAAAGCTAAACTGGACGAATACACTGGGACAAAGGTAGTATAAATTAAGATAAAAAATACTAAAGTAGGATTGGAATAAATCATTGAAAATATACCAAAATAAGAGTTCCATATTTTTATTCTCCAAATAGGAGTTAAAATACATTTACATTTTCAATCATGATCATGTACAATTCCTAGTTAGTTAATACGCGTATAATACACGCATTATACTTACGTACGTATAATACGCGTATTATACTCACGTATCCGTATGATTTTCAAAAATACTTTAAAATACACGTATATTTGATACTATACGTATAATTACGTATAGTACGTATGAATTGAATATTTCATTATAAATTTTTTTTACAACAAGAAATATTAATTTGTTCCAAAAAAATATTTAAACAAAATATGAGTAATACTTCATATGAGTTATACATACAATACTCAATCAATTTGAAAAAATATATACTATCTACATTTTACGAAGAATTTTACACTTTTTGTCACGTTCAAAAAAAGGTGTCACTCTTTTCCTTTTGTATGTCTCAAAAATTCATTTTCTTTTAGAAAGGAACGAGTAACTCACAATATTTGTTTTTTCTAAATATATTCAAACTATAAAGTTATTATTTTTAATATTTTTTAAAACTACGTACGTGAAAGTGAAATAAGGATATTTTTTCAAATGACGGGAGTATATATATTTTTCAAATACATATGTTAAATAAATAGAGATTCTAATATGAAAAAATCTATGGTAAATATTTCATTTTAAATAGTTTTGTATTTTGTTTATTTGCCCTAATATAAGTTGATGACTATCAATCGATAAATATGTGTAAATTTGACGTATATATAATAATATATATAAACATATAATAAGACGTATTTTAAAATTAGAAAACGTTTAAAACACGTACGTATCCGTATCCGTATGCCGAACGTTTAATATGCATAGTAAGCCGTATTTTATAAAATGCTCATGCACAGTGTCACATTACTACAGCGCGAACTCTTATTTAGAAAATAAAAACATGGAACTCTTATTTTGATATTTTCTCTATATTTTACTCCTATTTATGATAATTTTTTGGCCAACAACGAAACAAGCTAAGACTCAATAATACACTCCACAAAATTAGTAGGTAAAAGTAAACGGTATGTACACACTTTTTAGTTTTTAATTTACATGAAAACCAAGTCGAGAATAAAATCACAAGCCCACTACACAAAGGTACAAAAACTTCAAGTAATCACCAAGCTAAGAATCAAATGAGTACAAAGAGTTCTCCTCTATAATAAACACTAGAGTTAAATATAATTATAAAGAGCAATCTTGACAAAGTAACAACAATCAACAATTTCACTCAAGTAGTGTGAAGAAAACACAAAAAAACTAGACATGAAAAAGTTGCCACAAAACTAAACTACAGGCATCAAATTGAAAATTAGACCGTTGGATATGAAAATAGTGTAGAGGTGTGCATTATTCGGTCCAGACCGGGACCAACCCGAAACCTAGCCAAAACCAGACCGGACCGGTCTTTATTCGGTTCGGTCTTCGGTCCTCAACATTCTGTTATTCGGATTTCGGTCCGGTCTAGTTTGGTCCAGCAGGTTTCGTTCCGGATTGGTGGACCGGTCACATTTTTTTAAAAGTGATTTTATAGAAAAGGGAATAGTTTTTGAAGTTCACTCTTATATTCGTCCCGCTATATTGGGGACGAATATAGTGGGACGAAGGAAGTAATAGTTATTGATGTTTTATAGTAAAGTTTTTTGAATGTTACTTCTTTAATTTTTTTAAAATAGTCACATTTAAAATAAGTAATTACCGAATACACTCTATCGATCTAACCTCGTCTAGACATCTTTAAATTTGAATATTCTACTTTTTTATCTTTTGCACGGTTAAATATTCATGGGACACTCAAATAAATTAATTATGCATTGGAACATTATACATTTTGGCCTTTAGGGTAGCCAACCATCCATTATCCACTATCTTTATATATTGCACTAGCATTTTAGAATGACTGGGGATTCTAAAGTAGAATTTTGAGCAAAAACATTACAAGTGTTTGCTAAGAAAGTATGCACACTTGAACTTAAAAAGTGTAAATAAAAATAAGATATCTATTCTAGTTATATATATATATATATATATATATATATATATATATATATATATATATATATATATATATATATATATATATATATTGATGGACAATAAATCCACCAAATGATCCGACTTTGACCGGCGGATCGAAAAAAATAACAATAAACAAGAACTCGAGAATTATGGAATTATACGCTAGGCTTATCTTGAGGGTTCCTGTTCGGGTCCTCTATATTTATACATGTCATCTACGCAATTATGGTAGTTTATAATTTATGGAAGCTAATTCGAGATTCGCGCGATCCCCTCCCTTCGGCTACTTCTCCGCATGTAGCTGCGTCTCCCTCTCTGATTTGGACTCCTCCAGCTGTCTTTCCTTTGGGTTGGTCCAGGCCCAAACCTTTGGGCCGGCCCAGGACCGTCACACGCCCACATCGTTACCCAAGCGCCTTTTGGGCATGGGGTTTGGGCCTCCCGTTGGGTACTGGTCCATCATATATATATATATATATATATATATATATATATATATATATATATATATATATATATATATATATATATATATATATATATATATATATATGGGTGAGTTCAAGCTAAGTGAGCATATCCTTACTGTGAGAATAGACCTTATTTACTATAATGCTACCATATTGTTTAAGATTTTTTAGTTTTTTTTTGAAT